AGAGGCCAACACGAACCTAGGAGACAGCCAACTGAAAAGCTGTGCTTCCACAGGATCCAGCCTGCTATGGGTAAAACCAGAAGCTGAGTAAGAAAGAGAGCTACTCTAAAAGGACAGGTTTGAATTCAGCAGTTCCATTATGACAATAGTGAAAGCTTTTGCAAATGGCATGCCCTACTGGTTTGATTACAGCATGTGTTCTAGCGAGGTATCCATGGAAACTTAAGAAAGCGATGTTAAATTTGTTGGATCTATTTGGAACAAGGGAATGGGGCCATTTGCCTGTCAGCCTATCATAACCACAGGTACTTTGGTCTTTAAATAGAGAAAAAGCCTCAGGAGTCCTCAAAGATGAAATCTGCAACATCAAGTTGTCAGGAATGCATTTCTCAAACAGCAAGTAGAAGGTGGTAAGAACTGAATAAAGCAACTGTGATTTTAATGTTCTCATTATCTCTGACTAAAGACAAACAGCCTGGCTGCAGTAACAAGGGGGGATATACCCAAATATCCACTGCCCAGAGTTCATATGAAATGGGAAGAAAAAAAACCCACGAATTAAAAAAACCTCGTGACAAAAGGCCATGCTGCACAGGCAAGCTCAGAGCACTCTGAACTTCAAAATGGTTGGAGTACACACAGACTGAGACAGCCCTTAAAGAATGGTGCAGAAAAGCATCATCAATGTAAAATATATCTAGGTAAGAGCAAGTCAAAGCAGAATTCATAGATGATCTCTATGCTGCTTGCTTCTCCCAACACAAAAACAACTTGCCTCCTTCCTCAAGGAAACTACAGTTGACTGGGGACATTTCTGTAACAGAGACGGTAGTTCTTCTGAGATGACAGCAAATAAACTTGCACAGATTTCAAGCAAATGCTGCTATAAAACTGTATTCATATACATGCTTCTTTCTGGACTGCGAACAATACAAGCTGACAGAAACGTCTCTCAGAATTCCTAGGAAAACTGCATCTCCAGGGCACAGACTGAGAGTTGACCAAAGCTTGCAGAATTACTGATGGAACAAACAGAGGAAGACCCTTCTGAGTCCCTTGTATTTGCAAATTAAGATACTTCCAGAGCCAGTCCACATGCCCAAACCACTGCTGAGTGAACCCAGCAGCTTCTATCCATAAGCAGAGCACAGCAGTGTGCCAACAGCGGGGCGAGCCAACGCGGCTCCCCGTGCAGCTCCCTGTTCCTGACACACCCTGATGCTGCCCTTAGCAAAGGCATCAGAAGACAGGAACAAAGGCTTTCCAGTCTCAGCGCTGACCTCCAGATTCTGAGTATTTTTTTGTTTATTTACTTTTTTTTGTTAGAATTGACTGCATTTTCCTTTTCATTTACACAAAATCCTCTCTCAAATCCCTTTGAGGCAGACTTCGAAGGAATTTCCTGTTTTAATACCCACTGCCATCCTAATTTTAAAACAGTGAAAAGTTACTGCTTCAGTAATAGTTACAGTAAAATTTAAAACTTGCATGTTTATTTTAAATGCATATCACTATGTTCCTTAACACAACAGCAAATGGGTCATAGTTGACATATTTTGAGTAATGAGATCTATGGAATGTTCTTTTTAAGACCAAAAGGCACCCGGTGGCTGAGCAGAGGCAGCCTCAATCTGATGAAGCCAGGAGCCAGGACCTCTGCTGCAGTTAGGAACATGAAGTCTTCACGTACGCTAGTGGCACAGCAGATCCCTTCAGTTCATACTTGACAGCAGCTTTCTCTGAGTGCAACATCAACATCTGGGACCTCATGTTACAAACCAGCTGTGCACTTTTTCAGTAAAACATCTGTGAAGCGAGCATACCAATTACAGTCACAACTGATGGACTTCAGAGTTCATTCTTGAAACAGATTCCAAGTCTTCCTCTTTTCTAGTGGGAAAACACAGCTGAGTAGCTCTGCACGACTGTGTCATAACTTGGAGCTTCACCCATTTCTACTGCCAGTTAGTGAGGGTGCTTAACAGGAGAGCAGAGGATAAGCAGGGTAGATTTAGGTTGGATATCAGGGGGAAGTTCTTTACTATGAGAGGAGGTGAGGTGCTGGAACAAGCTGCCCAGAGAGGCTGTGGATGCCCCATGCCTGGAGGTGTTCAAGGCCACACTGGATGGCAGCCTGGTTTAATACTGAATGTGGAGGCTGGTGGACCTGCCCGACAGGGTGGTTAGAGATTCACGATCCTTGAGGTCCCTTACAACCCAGGCCATGCTGTGATTCTGTGAGAGTGACAACTGTCACTCAGAAGGTCACCACAGAAGAAGTTGAAGTCACTTCTGAATGCAACACTCAGAGTCTCATGATTTCACTGAGCTGCTTACGGCAGATCTCAACAACTACCTTACATATAAATAAATAAAACAAAAGGAATAGAGCCAAGCTCCCATAAAAAGTTGTTTCAGAGCTACTTGTGGTCACGACTGTTCTCCTCCTGGGAAGTCACATCACTTGAGTGCCATGCTGTTTATTCCTTACCCATTTCTCCGTTATCATTCACTGAGGGCCAGCAGTGCTTTTTAAAATACTGGACTAAGCCAAGCTGCTCCTTTACAATATGTAGACTAAAATAGCCACAGAGAAACACTTCTAAGCTATAAATGTTGCACTCTTCGGAGAAAAACGACTTCTGAAATCCCACCTAACACAACACCAAAAGGCAGAACTAATTCAGGTACAGAAAATGGAGGTGAAGGGATTCAGAAGTGACATCATAGCAGAGTACAGTAAAAAGCATTTGGCAGAAAAGAGCACGAGGCAAGACACCAGTCAACTCATGTGTAACCCCAACAACAGGGACAGAGTTAGAGAGCAAAACAGAACCTACACCATGACATTTACACCTGCAGATCAGATCTTCTGCAGCTGAGGCAGCATTCAGGTCTTCCTGCACAGCATCAGCCTCCTGGGGCTGCTGACTTCAGCTGCATCCAAAGCCGCAGCCGCGTCCGAGCCGCACTGCTCCCAGCTCTGGGCCAGCACAGCGGTGTCACGCCATACGAGTGCTGAGCAGTGCAGGGCCTCCCTGCAGCCAAACCCAGCTTTGGGGAAACCCTGCAGCTCAGAGCAGGGCAGCTCCCTGCACTGCTAGGCACCCGCTGCTACCCCAGGGGAATGAACTGAAAATTCACAGGGTGCGTACAGTAAAGGAGAACTGAATCAGCATCACCCATTGGCTGACCAGCACTAGAAGGCAGTACAATGGGAAGTTCCACATGCAACAGCTCAGGGGCACAAATGACTGCATCGAGGCTCACCCTGAGCAATCTGCAGATACCGCAGTGCTGTGCTGACTGGAGCTGTAAGCGATGGGCAGATTCCGCATGCAACGCCGTGCTGCTTTACATACAGACCTCTCTTCTACGCATTGTACTACGCTGCAGTAAGTGGCTGCAGCCCCTGGACTGTCAATGCAACACCTACTAAATCACGTTTTATCCCTGAAGTCTTTCTTCTCTGACAGCTTCAGCATTCCAGAGAGTGGAAAGCACATAAAGATTTCTGGCATAGCAAATCATTGATTTACTGCATGACATTCCATCTTCTAGCAAAACCCCTCCTGAACAAATTCTCCTTCTGTCACAAGTCACTTATTCTCAACACTGCCTTGCACTAACCTTGCAGCTTTATTACAGCAAACAATACACAGCGCTCTGTCACCTAACACACAAATGTCACTCTGTTCCTTCCTGTTGTCAGCTACAGAACTGTCACAGGTACCTTCAAGCAGAGTAAGCACCAGCGACTTATACAGAAAGCACTTCACATGTACATGATGGGGGTGAATATGCAGTAAAGATCTTGAAAATTCAACCAGTTTATAAACAGTATTATCTGTACTGTTTGAAATGCGCACTCTTTTATTCCACGTGTGCTACAGTTTACCTCTTTTATTCAAAGTGCTCCCCAAATCCCACTCACAGATGCACTTTTTTCTTCCTTCTCTCCAACAGAGAACCTCAGTTTTGGGGGGAAATTTTGAAAACAGGCCTCCTGAGCATCACCACAAGTTCTCTGTGCAAAGAAGGCTCTGCTGTCTTCTGTAGGAAATCAGTCCATAGGGAGGCTTTCTGACCGGTCCTGCGGCTGGTGCTTGTCTGCACCCATCTGAGTCACCATCCCCACCTGCAAAACAGAGCTGCATCCCCAGATGTGCTGAGGCTTACAGCTGAATAAGCTCATCAGAAGAGCTTTCCTTTAATTTATTTCCAGGATTTGTTGCTGCAACCTACCTCAGGGAACTTGCTTTATCAGGGGCTTGGACTGGACGATCTCCAGAGGTCCCTTCCAAAGCCCACAATTCTTTGATTTGTACTAACAGTCTTTTAAGTTTCTCTGTACACATACCACCACCACCCAAGGCTCAGCATCCATTTCCCCAGTCTCTACACCATTCAGTGAGGAAGAAGGTTTGGAGAGACACAATGAGACCAGCCAGGTTAAGCCCGCACTGTCCTTCGGGCTGTTCCCCCAGCCACGCATTTACAGCATCCCCAACAGGAAGGGATCATCCCCGTCCCTGCGGAGCTCTGCCTGTCACCGGGCGCACTGCGAGCACCGACGGACTGCAGTGAGACCCTCCCTGCAGGCCCGCGGGGAGCAGCCCCTTCCAGCCGCCGACCCGCACACACCGTCCCGGCGCTTCGCCGCAGCGCTGCCTCCCGCCCGGCTCTCCTAGCACACCACAGCGATGCCCGCATCCCGCTCTCCCCTCTCTCTCCCTCCCAGCCGCCGGGCGGGACGGCCACAAAAGGCCTCGGCGGCCGCATTGTTCCCGCACCCCGCTCCCTCCCGGGTCGCCGCAGCGGCTCCCCGGGGCTGCGGAGGGCGGCGGGCTCCGCTCCGAGCCCCGGCTCCCTCCCGAGGTGCCGCCCGCGGTGCTCCGCAGCGGGCAGCCGGCCGGGATTCCGCCCCCGCTTCCCCTCCACCGGTCCCGGCCGCCTCCCCCCGCCGCGCTCCCGCATTGCGGCGAATCCCCCCGCCTCACCTGCCGCACCACCCTCGCTCTCCGACATGGCCGCCCGCCGCCGCCCCGCGGCTCCCCTCAACCCGCCGCTCACCGCTCCCGCCGAAGCATGGGCCGGCCGCGGAGCCCAGCCCGGGGGAGGCTCCGCCGCTTCCTCCCGTCCCCACCCCGCCGCGCCTTCCTGCGGGCGGCGCCGCTGCAGCCAGGCCCCGTCGCTGGCAGGGGGCGGCGCGGCCCCTCCCCGCTGCGGGCCCGGCGGCGGCGGCTGAGCGAGGAGCGCTGAGGCCCGGAGGGGACGAACGTTCCGCAGTCGCTGACAGGTTCCCCAGAACCACGGACTGCGGGGTTACCGTCACAGCACCGTAGTGCTTCATTGGCCTTTGGAGCGGGCTCTTTCTCGACCCGTGTCCTTCGGAAGCTCCGATCCCGCTCATTAGCTGATTCCCACCTCTGCAGGACCTGGGAGAGAGGCACGCCCACGGGCACTTGCACCACCATTAAGCTGTAAAGATTTTTCCAAAGACGCTATAAACCCGAGAATAAAAGGCCGATATCCTGCAGCCAGAGCAACCGTTACCCTGTTCTCCCTTATTTTCCAGCCTCAGCAGCCATTCAAATTGTGGAAGCACTGCTTGCAGTTCTCGTGGAACAAACAAGGCTACTGACTGCAGTGCAGCTCCTTACTGACTTCCAAGCTCAAGAGATCACTGAGATTCACTGTAAATTATTCATGCCACCAACGATTGCCCTGAACCCTCTCACCAGAGGATCCCTTTGAATCTCTGGAGGACTGGCAAAGTCTGCACCAAAGTCTGGGTGCTGCAGATGCTTGCTCAGCACATTCTCCTTTTTTTTCCCCCCAGGTTTCCTCCCTGAGTGCACGGCTATGAGCAGAGCCCTCACTCAACCCTCATTCATGCAGCTCCTTGCAGCCATATTCCCTCTGTGAAAGACCAAAGGTGCAATGCACAAGGTAAAGCCCCAATGAAATGCTTCACGTGCTCACAGTTGACTCACCTGGAAGGCCTGCGCCAATCCTGTAGGCACCACAACCAACACCTCCTCCTGAAACCCAGAGAATATGCCAAACTCCTCAGCTTTCTGCCTCCCAGAAGGACGTGCTGAACCGCTGAGGAGCAGCGAGGGACAGAGCAGGAACAGCAGGGGGATGGCAGCACTCCGCCAGCCCCAGCCAGGCGCTGAGCTTCTGAGGGGATCAGGCACACGGGCTCCCAAAAAGTGGGGACAGCGTGCCCCAGGGCTGCTGCTTCTTGTGCTTCCCTCTGGCTCCAGGCCATGCAACAAAGGGAACATCTGGCCAATAGTCTGCTGTAATTGCATGTTTAGTCAAGCTGAATATTTATGCTGTCATCAAACAACCTCGGAAGTAAGAAACCAAACAACTTCAACACTTGTTTTCCTGACAAGAGGCTTAAATAGCAGAAACTTCTGCTTCAAACTAAATGCACGTCAATAGTAATTGACCGTAGGCTTTAAAATGTATTGGGATAATTAACGAAGGAAGGAAGAAAAAAAAAAGGAATAATCAAGAAAAACAAACGTGCACCCAAATCGTACACTTCCAGGAAGAAAGCCTGCCATGGAGGCTGCTCTTGCATGATGCTTCAAGCAACAACACACATAAAAATAGCATTTGCTGGGTACAGACATCCTTCTGAATGTCAAGGCAGTGACTGCATTATTCAATATCAAGCCAGGTTGCCTAAGCTACGCATTCAGCTGTAGGTGTTGTGAATAATGCAGAAGCAGAATATTTGAAGGCATGTGACTGCTAGCTTCAGAAATAAGACCCTTCCCAGAGAGCTTAGAATCTCCTTTTAAAATCTAATGAGAGGAACTGGGGGAAAAAAATGTATTTGTGGTAAATTTGGATTTTTATTCTGAAACATCAAATATCGGACTAAGGCACCTTAAATTTTGTTTTGTTTTATAGAGATAAAACTGAATTATGCAGATAAATTACAGAAAAATTAAGGAGTACTATTTTTTCAACTCTCTCAACTGAAAGCAAATTTAAAAGTGCATTTCAATCAAAAGAAAGAACACTTTGAGAAAGGGCTCCCATATCAAATGAGCCTCTCTGGAGCTGGAAAGACTTTATTTTGATTCCTCAGGAACTTTGTCACTTTTATGGTTGTTTTGATATGTTGTTTGGAATCTGGTTTTAGAGGTTGAGATTTTGTAAGCATAACAGGAAGTGAGTCTAAATATAGTAAATCAAATGTAAAAATACTGCAGATAGATTTTGAAAGGATGGCAAAAGTAAAGCCATCTACATTCTCAGAATACCTGTCCTTACACACATCCTTATGTCCTGGATGAGCTCATCAGCAGGTGTCCTAAACAAGATTCAATGTTAGGGTGGGTTTGGAAAGAGCTTTGCTTCTCAGTGAACAAACGTGAGCTGGCTTGGTACATTGCAGGGGAGCAGCAACACAAAGGAAGAACCTTTTTTCCAGCTCTGAACCAGGCAACCAAAGCACCCACCAGCATTAAACTCAAGCAACCAATCCAGTACTTCACAGGGCATTGCTTGGGTTTCCCCTCAAGCACCTGCTTGGGATTGACACCTCTCAAACACATCAGGAACCGTGATTTTAGATCCTCTTTTGCGAACACAGAGCACTTCTCCATGTGATCTCCAGAAAGCTGCAGCGGCAAACATTCAGCTCCTCACACAAGGGGCTCAGACACACAGTCATAAACTCCCCATACAAGAATAATAGCTGTCTGACCTCACTGCTTCTAACGGAGCTGCTGCATAGATGTTAGCCATTAGCATCGATGAAAATTTCATGAGAAAGCAGCAGATCACTGCAGTGCCCTCTAAGAGCCACGCTCACACGTGGTGTGTGCTGCACAAATCTGTGGCTAGCCAGCAAAGGGAGTTCTGTGTTTCTCACGCATGACTATGAGGGTCTCAGCAAGGTGCTGATCTGGCAGCACTGAGAGTCAGCAAGCTGGGAGCACAAGGCGCAAATGGCAGGAATGTAGGCACTGGGATATTGCTTTCAATGCATCTGACAGCAAGATGTACAGATCTGATTACAGATGTGGAGATCAGCATGCTGTGTACCCTACACTGGTACCAGAGAAAGTTGCTATCTGTATAAATCAAACCATACGTAAAACAAGGTGATGGTTTTGTACTCTGAATATCCCTCTTAGATATTCTGGAGCACCATTAAATGTACAGTATCTGATTTTTTTTTTATCATTCACATAACTGTTATTGCAATCTCCCCCTACATTCCAGTTTACAGCACTTTGACATCTTTAGTTCTGCTTATTGGTTCACGTAGTAATAGCTTATAAATTAATTTTAATGCAGAGTCAACTGGGAAGCTGTGCTCCCCTAAATGAGTTGCTATCTTCCCTTTCCCTCTTCAATTATTTAGCAAGAAATCTTTGTAAGGATAAGAAAAGCTGTTCATCACTATTACAGCCTTTCAATAAAGAAGCACAAGAAATACAAAGCGTTTCTTCAAAAGAAACAGTTTATACTGTTCTTAGTACACCTGTTCTTTGTACATTTCTCAGCATCATTTGGAAACGTGTTATTCTAAGATCAGAATCTGCATAGAATTCTCCACCATTTCATAGCTGGATGTTTCTGCAGCAAATCTGCTGTATTCTAGAAACTGAAAATGCTCTTCTGGTGCTTAAAACACCTAGAAACACACCTTTTGAATGTAGAAATGGCAGCACAAAGCTAACTACTGCTTGCACCGTGTTTTTTCCCCCCCTTCTTTTGGAAACCATACAAGGTAGGTATGTTGCATGCTGAACAGCATCTCCAACAGAAACACATCACAGGAACATCTGAGAGTTTTACTGTGGACCTCAGTGGACTGTGCTAGATGCTGTGTATATAAACCGGAAGATGGACTCGGTTTCAGTGCTTCCATTCACACTGTGTGTCCTGAGCACAATTCCTCCTTAAATGCACTGCTCTTCCTCTACCTTGGATGTATTTTAAAAAAGGGAAAAGAAGCAGATGAATGTAACATTTGTTATATAATTTTATGTGGTCATGCTATCCTCTGAGTATTTCTCTCCAAATGCACACCATCTATGTAGAGAAAACTACTGTTATCTCGAGATGTTTTTAAAATATCAGCCCAACTGCTTGCTTTACTTTTTTGGCCCTGCGTGTGGCAGGGGGGTTGGAGACTCATGATCCTTGAGGTCCCTTCCAACCCTGGCCATTCTGTGATTCTGTGATTACTATACATTTCCTATTGCTCCAAAAGAAAAAAAGCCATCTATTCATCAGCCAATGAATTTATTTTTGCTGTCTATCTGATTTCTGAGAGCATATGCAGTGATTAAGTAAGTAATGAGCACACTGGCTCCCACAGATCAACAGAAGGTCAGGTCACTCAGCCACCTCTACAAACGAGCAGCTCAGCATGTCAAAATTCTACATACCCTACTCCGTATGGCCTCTGCTCAACAGAATATATTGAATCCCCAGGCAGCACGTCTAGGTGTTATTGTTCATAGCTATGTTTTGCTGACTGCTTCACTGAATTAGGCATCTCCAAAATTGCAGCACTATTTGCAGTACAAGTCATAATTTGAACCATTAAAAATATCCTGTACCAGGCTGATTACATTGAATTTGGCAATGTAAAAGGGAAACAACTCAGAAAATTATCAACCTCAACAAGTCACATGAAAGCATTATCTCTCATTGTGCACCTGTGACACATAAAAATGTCATCACAGAAATAGAACATATGATTGTTACCAGGCACCTCCCTAGCTGCTTTCTGAAGCTTCCTGTGGTCCAAAGAAATAATGGAAAGAAAATGCATGGCACTGAAAGACAAGGAGAATGATTGATGTGATGCTGCAAATAACCTGCATCCAAAGGGAAAATTCAAAAGTTGGAGAACATTCCATTTCCACATGTTGACTACTTACAGGGAAACAGTCATTTAAGTTGCATGTAGGTACATGTCAGGTTAAGGTATTCTTTTTTCTAAGATGTTTGGGAAACTGTTTGACAAATCTGTAAATATAATACAAATGTCAATCCAAATCACTGAGACGAGAACAG